CTGAGATTTCTTGTCATAAATAGTGAATTGCCAAAAACGTAGAATGTGGCATTTCCAGAGGGATGACTTTAAATGCTGCTCACCAAACCAAAAAGAAAAAAAAAAATCACAGAGCAATTCTGCCTTTTTTTGTCCCTTTCACACATTTTCTCTCATAACGAAAGTTGACAGGCAAAGCAGTAAGGAAATGTATGAATAAAACCAGAGACTTGCATGATTAATCTGGAAGCGTTTATAAAATAACAGAAAGTAAGCTGAGATGATTAATAAGTGTATTTTCCACATGAGCCATCTATTTATTTATTTGAATCTTGCCTTTATTGTTTTCACAAATAAGGCAGCCAACATATGCAACACACCTTCCTCCTCTTATTTTCCTCACAACAACAATCCTGAGAGGTGTCTATGGAGATTCTCAATCATCCAGGTCATGGCTGTCCCAAAGGTGGTTTTTCAAGTGGCAACCAGACTTTCTTTGTTTTTGCTTGAAGACGTTTTGCTTCCTATCCAAGAAGCTTTCTTCAGTTCTGATTAAATAGTGGAGAAGCTTCTTGGATGAGAAATGAAATGTCTTCAAGGGAGAAAAAAAAAGGCCAGTTGCCTCTTAAAAGGCACCTTTGGGACAACCCTGTGAAGTAGATTGAGTGGTATCAAGCTTAATTTTATTGTGTTTCCCTCAGAACAGGGCTAAAGGGAGAAGGGACTGAAGGTAAATTACCGTATATACTCGAGTATAAGTCGACCCGAATATAAGCCGAGGCACCTAATTTTACACAAAAAAACCTGGGAAAACTTATTGACTCGAGTATAAGCCGAGGGTGGGAAATGCAGCAGCTACTGGTAAATTTCAAAAATAAAAATAATTAATTTGGGAAACGATCTCACTATCATGAAAGGTTTAATTGATTCACTAACCCAAAAGAAGAAGATGATGATGACAGCGGGAGGCAGGAGTCACTCTCTTCCCCTCCCTCGGAGGCCCCCTGAGTCAGGAGTCACTACCGCCGGCGCGGCCCCAGTCCCGCCGCCTCGGGAAGGGAAAGGCAAAGCGCTTTTTGCCTTTCCCTTCCCGGCTGGGGCTGTTGGGAGTCGCTGCCGCCGGAGGCCGCGACTCCACACCATTTTTTTTTTCAGAGGGGAATCTGACTCGAGTATAAGCCGAGGGGGATTTTTTCAGCACAAAATTTGGGCTGAAAAACTAGGCTTATACTCAAGTATATACAGTATGTCTCCCAGACAACCATAAATGGTGTGATGAAAAGTCACTATAGGGCTTTGGACCTATTTTTATTATTTTATTTAATTTTTTTCCTCAATCATGTGTCACTCTTACCATACTCGATAATCAGACTTTCAGCTCTTTATTCATGCAAAACCTTCAATAATTCAAGTTTATCCATTTAATCATATACTAACTACACTGCAGTGTAGAAGCATGTTATTCATCCTCTATGTTTATATCCATTTTTCATTCATTCACTGGGAGGTAAATCCTTCTAATGTATTTCATACAAGACCCTTCCTTTACTGAAGTTGTTCTATTTTAATTTCTTTCACATTTTTTTTCTTTTCTCCCCTCTCTTTTTTTCCCAAGATCCACTTTTGACGTTACCAAAAACTGCCCTGTCCTATATTCAGAACCTTTTATTGACCTGTTTTCCATCACTAATTCTTTCTTTATTGTTTTGCCAGGAACAATTAAATTGTGTTCTTCTCCTGAGTTATTGAAAAAGCTATAAAGGATCTTTTATAGCTTTTACCCTGACTTTGGGATTTGATGTGTTATCAAGTTCTCTCCTGCAGGAGAATGTGAGTCCTTCAAAATAGCCCAGATAAGAAGTACAACTATGAATATAGCTCTATTGTTATTGTATATTTACACTATTAGAATCTTGTAAGATTGAAAGTATTTATCCTCCTCTTCTTTTATTCTCCAGAAAACCAGGGACGGTTCTTTCTGAAATGCCTCTCGTATCTCCTTTCTTTCTGTGTACTTAGAAATCTTTTTTTACTGCTGGTTGACCAGTTTGGTTCTTCCTCTTGCCTCCTAATCTGTTATCTGTTACCCATATACCATTAGAGTATGTGAATTGTTGCTAAAGGTGTTTGGAATATTTTGGAACTTATTTTTATCAATCACTTTAGCATGTATAGATGCTGCTCAGAGTCTGCTATGACCAAAGTGGCTTAGAATTTGTTAATAATTCATTGAAACTAATAAATAATTAATAAATAATCAGACAAGATCATCACAAGCTCACACCATCTCCATTCAGACCTCTTATAATCTCCCCTAAATGCTTTTTTGTAAGATAGGGAAGATATAGACTAGGTCACATCCTTATTCATGGTCATGCCAAATGTTGCATTTCCTTCTAACAGTGTTACTCAACAACAGTGTTGGTAGTAGAGTTTAGGCACATTTTTCATGTACTATAAGCAAAAGTAAAGTCATGTTTTATCTCCAGCAACCTTCACATTATCTTCTGCTACTTTTTTCTCTTCCTTTCCCTTGTTCCTTTTTTCCTTTCTCTTTCTCTTTCTCTT